TCTCAGCACATCTTGAATGAACTGCAAAGAAAACGAATATGGTAATCTCTTCATCCTTCTCCACACAGTACACAGTAACGCCTTAGTATTCTCTTATCAGGGATGTTGTACTCTGACAGCTAACCTACATTTTTCTCTTTCTGAATTCTTAATACCACCATAATAGCAATTATCTGACTACTTTCCTTCCTCAGAAAACAAGAGGAGACAGCAGTTGTAGCTGCAATATAATTGAACAACATTCAGTGAATGGCCACCAACTCTGTTTCAGAAAAGTATCATAAATACAATATGTGCACCATGGTTCCTCATGATTCTGTTCTCTGGCTACTGAAAAGGGAACCATCTATTTCTATCACATGCCGTCAGCATGAAATCTGATACAATTCAAGGAATACGCTCAGAGCTTTTTTTTAATTTTGGGAATCTCTGACAGAACAGTCTTCTCTGTCAAGCGTTAAAAGCCTACAAACCAGCACACGCCTCCCTGTTTGCTATTTTTATATCACTGGAATTACAAAGCATGCACATAATAAAAGCTGAAGAGCTGGTTTATTTAAAAGGGATATCTACTAATGTGAAGTCACTAAAAGTATATAGGGAACTAAGTAACTTGTGGCCAAGTCACAGTGCTATACAATGCAAATGCCTTTCTTCAGCGGGCAAGCTATGAACATCAGTCAATGTCTCTCCCAAAATAGAGCTTGCTATACAAAGAAATTCAGCATGTGACATTTAAGCCACAATGCCTATAAATATAGATTATGTCCCAGTAGAAAAGCTTGTCCAGCAACGGAAGCCTGAACACTTCACCCACTGGATAGAGATCCAGAAACAATCTGTCTACTCTTTGGATTATACAAGACAGTTGAATAATCATAGCTCTTGGAAGTGCCAAAACTCCTCACACTATATATGTCTTCATTATTTGATCTTCAAAGACCCCAATGCCTTGAGAAACCGCTGCAGGCTACTTCAATGAAACAGCAGCATGAAGCTAGTGCTCTGCTAAGCAACAGATTTATACTTCCATCTGAGACAATAGATAAAAAACAAACTTGATTATAAGAAATGGTAGTATCTTGTCTGGCATGTGACTGGGAAAGATAATGTTGAAAAACAAGGGGGGAAATGGCTTACTCCAAATCACTTATCACAGGATATCTAAACTATTGAAATAGCTGTATCAATACCATGGAGGGAACAGAGAGTGTTAAGTAGTTTCCAGGCATAATTATTGATGGACAAACCTCCAAAAATTACTTTCTATCACTTAACACTGGCTGGGTTTTTAAAAGTTTATTAAGATTCATATAAGCTATTTGCCCACTTTTATGAAGAACTGACACTCATATAATATACTCCTTTCTTCTAATTTTAGTCTGGAACAGCAGAAAATGAACTCATTCAATCATCCACACAACAATCTTTCTTCTATTTAAACATGGCCATCACGTCACTTCTCCATCTTTTCCTATGGGGGGGGTGCATCATCCTGTTAACTCATACTGAGCTTGTGGTCTACTAAGGCCCCTAGTTCTTTTTCACATGTAATTGCTGTTAAGGCATAGATCACATATTCAATATTTGTGCAACTGATTTTCCTGCCTAAGGACCTTATCATACCCCCCACCCCGATGCCGCCGACATTTTCCCCATCACACAGGGGAAGTGTCACCCAACTGTAGCAGGAGTGTGCTAACTCCATTGGACTTTTCCTGTGTTGACAAGGAAGAGTCCTAGGATGCTTCCATTCCACCGGAGTTTGAGGGACATTGTGTGATGGGCTACATTCCCATCCCTTCCTCAACTGGTGGCAAGCATCCTGGGACATTAAAATGGGCAACTGTGATGAAGTCTTAAATATAGTACATTTATCATGTAGCACTTTATAAAAAACAGGAATAGAAAGAATAATCAAAATATGTAGGGTTTTTTAAAAAAATTACAGGTTTCTAAAGTGTTAGGTAACCTTGACAAGGAGAATCCTAGGGCAGGAATCTTCACAATTTAGAACTTATTCTGTAAAAAAAATGTGTGTGGGTTTTTGCACAGGAAATTTTTTTTTCTATATAGAAAGTAACATTTTATCACAAGCAAAAATAAAATGTATTAGGATTTGCATCTTTCATCAAAAGCCTTTTCAAATCAAGGTTAGTTGCATATATAAGATTTCTCTAGTCAGATTTAAGATAGCTGTTCTCTTTGTTGCTTCTTCCACTTTCTAGAAAATAAATCTATCAATAAAGCAAATAGACTTCATATTTCTAGGTAGTTTAACTTCCAACATTATCAAGCTGGTTGAAGTCTCTTGTTACTATTTTAGCTCTGTTTTTTAATGTTTGGTAATCCATAGTCACCTACGGATGTGAGAGCTGGACCATAGGGAAGGCTCAGCGAAGGAAGATAGATGCTTTTGAACTGTGGTGTTGGAGGAAAGCTCTGAGAGTGCCTTGGACTGCGAGAAGATCCAACCAGTCCATATTTCAGGAAATAAAGCCCGACTGCTCATTGGAGGGAATGATATTAGAGACAAAGTTGAAGTACTTTGGCCACATCATGAGGAGACAGAAAAGCTTGGAGAAGACAATGATGCTGGCTGGGGGAAATGGAAGAAAAAAGGAAGAGGGGTCGACCAAGGGCAAGATGGATGGATGGCATCCTTGAAGTGACTGGCTTGACTCTGAAGGAGCTGGAGGAGGTGATGGCCAACAGGGAGCTCTGGCATGGGCTGGTCCATGAGGTCACGAAGAGTCGGAAATGACTGAATGAATGAACAACAACAATCTGATGTGGGAAAGAGTCACCAAAGACCTCTACTAGAAAACAACACAGAGATGGCAATGTTGTCATGAAATTTTACCCAAACACTCTCAACCTGCCTTTCAAGCTCTACATCACTGATCTTCTAACAAGTGTAGATATACTTTATATATAATGTCATTTATACTTCCTAATTTGTTCAGTCTATTTCAGTGGTTCCTAATCTTTTTTTGACCAGGGACCACTTGATGAGGGACCATTTTGACCAGGGACCACTCTCCAACACTAATACCAAAAGGGTTACAAATCAGTTTTTGGTCAACTTTAGATTCAGTTTGGTTATTTGGAGTACTACTTCATAAAATTACATTGGATAGACCACATCAGCTCTAGTTTCTGATGCAGAATATATACCATCCAGTTGTCACCATCTGCTCACCCACAGAAACCCACATTGAATAATCTTGAGCTGATGTGGTAGTAGTAATCTTTTGTGATGGATTACTACCACCACTATAAGAGGGTTTTGCGAGACCAGTCGTTCTTGTTACCACATGATTTCGAGGCAACAGCATTGTAATGGTGAGGCTGCAGACCATATTTTTGGTGGTCCATGGACCACAGGCTGGGAACCACTGGTCTATTTGAATAGGTCATACTTCGAAACTACTACAATATAGTCATGAGTCTCATCCCACCAGTGATGCAAATTAAACAAAGTGTCTTTGCTATGTCAAGACTTCAACTTAATCTGGCAATAACAACAATTATTTCTCTTATCCAAACTGTGATAAATAGATGTGGTATCTAACTTTAGTCACAATTGCATCCATTTTAGAAATTATCCCCATAAAAGCAAAAACAAATGCATTCTCTTATGTAATTTGTACAATCACTAATAATTACTCACCCTGCCTTTTTTTTCCATAAATAAGGCTGGAATCACAAAGATGTTTGATATTGACATAAAGAAGCATACGTTTTTTTCCTCTCTATATTTTTGTGCACACAAACCAAACTGCTCCCCATTACTGGCATGTCAGTCATGAAGGTGGAGAACACTTTTTCAAGAGAGAGTATGTGTTTCAGCTATCCTCAAGAACAGTCAGTGCCTTCCTTCTGATAATGTAAACAACTCTTCATTAACAGTCCGTGCAAAGACCAATTCTGCTCACAGAACTGCACCTTTCTTTCTTTCAACTGGGATTCTTTTCTCCAGTGACCAAACTTGTGTTTTTTTAGTGTATTACTTCACAGTCTTGCTTTATTCTGAACTATTTGTAGCTCTGTGAAGGGCGGGTGATCACATGAAATTAACTGGAAAAGAAACAATCTGAACATTTCCCTAAGGTTGCTTTTTAAAGAATCCTATTCAAAAGCCACAAAAACATAAAGGTAGCAAGTTCCTGCCACACACATTGGGAAGTGAGAAGTCTTCTACGGAAATGCAACAATATCACTTCCTTTTATGTTCAAGCTCTTTTTAGGAGACAATCAGGTATACTAGAAGAGGCAAATTAGTCCTGTGATTAATGATCAAATCAGGATAACATGGCTTTATGCACACAATCCCATCTTGCAGCAATGGGTTGTGTCTGAAAAGATTTGATCCACAAAATAAAATTAATCTTTTCACTCAAAAATTCAACCCCAAATATAAAAACCCAGTCTCCTTGAAAATTCAGTTTGGGGCTAATTTTTAACTATATATAATTTGGTATCATGAATAAATTGAAGGCAGGTTTTGGTGCCAAAATTATTAATTTTGATATGAAGCTATGGTTAAATCAAAGATTATTCCATGGAGAGGAGAAATAGTCAGTGCCACCACAGAATGAGAGCTGCCTCTGGCCATCATCACCAGCCCAGAAAATCTAAAAGAACCCTCAACCCCCTTTAATCTCAGTGTTATTTGAGGGAAAGTACTATAGAGTTGCCACCACCACTGCCATTTTCCTGCCTAGACATCGAAAAAAGGCAGAGGAGGTATCACCACAGAAAAGAGAGGATGTCAATGCCTCCTTTGGGTTCTCCTGAGGTGGCTAAGGTCTTACCTTTCACCACTCTATAATTATTTCTTTTTTTCCAGGAAATTTAAGATACATTAGTTACAGTGGCCAATGGATAAGTTGACCAATGGGGGGTTTTGAGCTCATATTTTAACTAAAATTTCTAGCTTCATCCACAAGTCTATACAGTAATTTTCATATTAAAATTTGGTGTCTAAATTACGGTACCTTTAATTTCTCCAAGGAGTTCGCTTGTGTTTAATCTTTCCATTTTCTCCTTCCAGTCTTTAGAGAGTAACTTTTCCATGCAAGATGAATCTATGTTTTTTAAAAAGAAGATAAAACAAAAGCATTAATGAAGAGATCTATGAGTTGCAAAAGTACAAGCCAAAAGGTCTGATGTATATTGCTGTGACTCTTGCACAATTTCAGTGTTATACTGGCTTAAATCTTTGTCTCTGGAAACTGCCTTGGGTTCCATTCTAGTATAATGACAGCATATAAATTAAATGAATGAATGAATACATCTATTTTATAGTTGCATTTAGAGCGGATGCATTGAAGCAATCAGATTTATACCAGCCTTGACTTACCATTCAGCAATTAGTTCTGTGAATCTACTCTAGTTGAGACTAGAAATTCTACTTAGGCCAATATCCACTGCTGCTTTGTTTATGCTATGAACAGAACTCAATACAACACAGGTATGATGCTATAACTCAAACTAATTATTTGAATCAGAAACAAGTACCAGTACTAGATTTGACAGAGGCCATTCCACACTGGCACAAAATGCAGGATGAATAAAATGGCAGTTAAGGATCACATGTTGTCCCTACTGCCATACTCTGCCTCACTGACAGGGTAAAAACCACAGTGCCCAAACATACCAATGCAAATTTGGCATGACTGGGCATCAGCACAGCCTCCCAAGACTCCCGGTAGATTGTTAGGAATTGTGGGAGTTGAAGTCCAAAACACCTGGAGGGTCAAAGTTTGCCCATGCCTGGGCTACAATATCAAAACATTTTGGTTTGGGGAAAATTCTTATCTAATACCAGTTTGGGCTCTCCAGTTGACTCAATGACAACTAATACAGTCAATTTTCTGTATCAGATGAAGTGTCATGTCCAAGTATGGGTTCCCATGGTTCACATTCCCACTTAGACTTAGATAAATCCAGCTCTTCCTCTTTGATTGCACGTGTGCACTGCACACAAATCCAACTTGCTCCTCCAAGTTATGAGAACATTTTAAAAAGATTTTGGATATTGAACCTATTGTTAGCAAATTCTACAATCTAGAATTGTTAATAAAATTTTATAATGGAATTATAAACAACAGGCATAACCCTTGCTCAGCTTCCCAAATGTATGATGCTTGCAGTAAGCAATTTGTCATGTCATTGTGGACTCACACAAGTTGAGGTTATTCTGTTATCCGGGGAAAGGTTTTCTTTGCATCCTGGGGAAGTGGAGCAGTGCACTTCTTCTCCATGCACTGTCAATGCAAAGGTCTATTTCCTCTTTTTAAAAGAAGTCCACAGGCAAAAAAAAAATCAATGCCTAAAACACATATTATTTTACTTTAAAGATGGTGGCAGATTCAAGTGTCTGCATCTCTAAGATATGTGTAATAGAGACAGACATAAACCGCAAATCTTTCAAAATAAGGGAAGCAAACAAAATCTGCCCTTTTCCTGACTTATTTCACAGTAGTCCATTCCTTTATAAAAACAATTTTCTCTTAAACCAGCTCACTTCATTTTTTTTCTAAGAGGAGGCAGGAAGAAAGTCTTTTCATTTCTCTTAGCATATACTATGTGCTCCTCTTCAGTTAAAGATATGAAAATGCTCAACAGAACATGGGAAGATTACTTGTCTGGCAAAGGCATTATTTGGATGTAGCACTAAACTAAGAGCGAATCAAGTACAGCCCTCCAGATGTTACTGGACTACAATTCCCTACAGCTCTAACCAGCATTAGCTAATATAAGGGATGCTGTACACTGTAGTTCATCAACACCTTTGCCTTCCCCTTGAGTAGAATTACCATTACTGGAAAGAGCCACAAAAACAATTGCATACTCCTCCTCTGTATTTCTCCTCTGAGGAAGGCATGAAAGGGAGTTTGAAAGCTTGTCTTTCCATTTCAATTGACCACAGCTTGCTGTGACATCCATCATTCACCACCACCTTATGGCTAATTTGAATGATCATTTCTTGGAATAAGCCAGTTTCAAATTATAGTTGCAAGTAACCATTGGCCCCTTCTACACTGCCATATATTCCAGATTATCAAAACAGATAATCTACATTATCTGCTGTGAACTGGATTATATGAGTCTACACTGCCATGTAATCCAGTTCAAAGCAGATAATCTGGATTTCATATGGCAGTGTAGAAGAACCCATAGTTAGTCTTAAAAGCACTTTACAGTTCGGATGTCACACTTAACTACTGTTAGAATAAAACAGAAACAAAATCTAATTTCACTGTAATTTAACTCACTCTTATAATGATAATGTAGCATTAAATCCAAATATAGGTTGACAATGTGGTAAAACTCTTAGTTGTAATCCTGTTTGGATTTTGCATGTTCCTTTTTATCACAAAAAGTTGTTGTTTTGTTGTTGTTATTTAAGAAAGTAGTGTTCACAACACCTAATGGGAATCTCTGGAAAAAGAATATAGTTTGTGGTCCCAACACTACTACCCTCCAAGTAATGTTTTAGTAGGAAAGCCAATTTACTAATTGCATCCATTCAAAGAGAAAGGGGCGGGGGGGGGGGGGGGAGAAATTAAGGAATTCTAAGTTACTTGTTACACAATAAAGCCAATACTTTAATGTTAACAATTATAAGCCTTTATCACTTAATGGGGTTTTGGCCAGATAATAGAAGAATCACCAAATAACCACCAATTATCAATAGACTGTTATAATTTCTCAGTTTCTCTGGGGTCATCCATTTAAAAAGATGCCTTTCGTGTGCCCTGCCAAATATCAAGTCTCCTTATTCCTAAAAAGATGAAGAACAATTGTTCTTCATACTTACTGAATACTTACTTATTGATACTTACTGAAAATTACAATGAAAATATTTTAACTAGGAAACTTTTTCTCAATTTATGACTACAAGGCATGAAAATATAAAAAATAAAGAACCAATGAATAGTAAAACACCACTGACAATCATATCACTTTTGATTTTATCAACTTTCAAAAATGCATGAAAAGAGTACCATTCTTTAATTAAATGGGCTGACAATGCAGAGAATGGAGAGGCAGAGAGGGAATCTACATCCTCAGTTTTCAGCTGATAATATTGAAGAAAAAATGGAAAATATCTGAAACCATTCTTATAGCATTGCAATGCCATTCAATATATGCTGTAGTGAATGAAATCCCAGTTTCAATCCAATGTTGTATGCTGACTGGGGGAACTGCAGAAACCAGAGGAAATGGGAGCTAAGCTTTTTCCCTTTCCATCCCAGTGTCCTGGCATGAAAGGAGGGAGGGGACATCCCAAGAGGAGAAGAAAGGGAGTAGAAGACAAGCAGGTTCTGCCATGCTGATGTACAATGTGGTGACAACATACACTTATTTTTCACAATATTTTTTTTATGTTCCAGGTGGACGTAATTTCTTCATGTTCATGTTCAGCAGCCACAGTCAACCAAAAATTGACTTACTCCCTCTAATTAGTGTCATTAAAAGGCTTACCAATATGAAGGAGTGCATTCTAAAAGTATTTGCTGACATCCTTGTGTGCATGCATGCATGTTTGTCAATACAATTCTGCCCTAATGTTTTCTTCAATAGCAAAAAGCACTTCCCCATTCAATGAAACAAACAAATGTGCGCGCACACACACACATCCTGTTGTAGCTGTGGAATTGTTCTGGCACAAGGGTTTTTGTCAAAGAAAGCTCTTGTGGGGCTTGGTATCTACATGTTACTTACATTTGCATTATTAATAGACCATACTTATTCTATAGATACATTTGCAACTGTAGTAACATTTCAGCATGGCAACAAGCACATGCTTTCTCTGTAATTGGAACCAATAGAATGGGTAGTGATTATAGATACCTTTGATTTTGTGCCATAGCCCTATGAACCACATTTTGCATCAGCTTAAGATAACAAACCCATCAGTGCCAGTACACTAGGAAGGTTTTAAAAACAACAACAAGAACAACACTAATGAGGTCACAGCCTCCAACATCTCCCTCAAAGATGAAGGAAATCCCACAGTGCTCATGTCTAGATTCATTCCTCATTACTTCTTTACAGGCTCAATTAATCTAAAGGCTATCACTTTCATGGAAACAATTGTACTAACATTAGATTATTAACTAATTTGTGAAAAAGCATGTGATTTAACCAGCTGGCAAATCCTACCCACAGAAGGGCTTTTAATGGTAACTAAAACAAGCACTAGCAGTACAAAAATTGCTTAGAGGAGGAAATCAGATCACTGCTTGTCATATTTTAATTCATAGATTGATCTGTAGCATAGGCACATGCATTATAACAAACTCGTGACTGAAAATGTTGCTTTAGGAACAATGCCTTTAAAACAGATAAGGTGGACTCCAGATTTAACACACAGGCACACAAGATGAAAAGGATGTCTCTGTGATGAAAACAATTAACATTTCTCCACTGAGTAATCAATCAGCTTTGGTATGGAAAGAATCCTGGACTACGGATGAAGAACAAGTGTGCTAACTATCACAGGCAAAGGCTTAAGTTCTTTTGACTAAATGAAAGTCATCTTGATCCTATCAAGGGCAGGCCCTCCCTCCCTTCCTCTTCTCTTTCTTACCCATCCCAATCCACATCTCATGACCTTCAACAAGTGAGAGAGCCCAGTGCTACCTTTTTGAAATACTATGTGACCTTCATGTGGCCTGCATCCATCTACATATACTTCCCCCCCTCTAAATGCCCTCTCTACCCCCTTATTTTTAATTTACTGAAGTAGCCCTCACATTTCTTTCTTTGACATACAGATGTGAAGAATTCATTCATGCTCTGTGTGTGTGTGTGTGTGTGTGTGTGTGTGTGTGTTTTGTTTTTTATGGTAAAAGTCAGACATAAAAGAAAGCCTAAATGTGTGCGTGCTGTAGCAAAACTTCAAAGCCCTGACTGTCAGACATTATTATTTCAAATCAGTGCTGACTTTTTGAGACTCAATAAAACACTATAGTGCACAGTGGCATATTTATAACATCCATATCAATGGTAAATGTGATCAACTGTCTCATTCTTGCTGCTTTGAGAGTCTCACTTTCTCTCTCTCTCTTCTTTA